TCTCCCGGTCCCTTGGTTTCTCTAGTTTCACGCGTGTTTTCCTTCTACCCTCCCGGGACATATTCAGTTAAAATAAAGTTTATTTTCTCGTACTCCTGTGTGTGTTGGCTCTGCTTCTGGGTCCAGCTTGTGCACTGAACCTCGGTTCATGACAGTACATTTATTCTTAGGGGATATACTGTATTTAAAAATTATCTAAACAAAATGTGAAATAATTCCTTAAAGACTAGGAAAAAGAGGGAAAAAAGCGCACAGATGGTTAAAAAATCACTTTGTTCTCATTGATGTTTTCAATGAAATATAAGCGTGACAGATTTTGAAATCAGATGATTTGACATATTCTGTCTCTTCAATAAAATAATATGCAAAATGTTTCTCAGTCAAAGTGTCTCTGTGAGTGCAGATCAGAGTCATGTCTTCAGGGTCATAGAAGGACACCTCGCCCCTGTCATAGTTCAGCTGGACTCTGATCCTTTGGAGACTCTTCTTCACTGTCACAGTCTGACGAACAACAACTGTGTATTTTCCAATTCAATGATCTAAACACCAAATCCTATGAATTACATTTTCTTTTCTAGGCATAATGTATCTGTGTTAGAAAACGTAATCACATAATTATAAAGAGACTTTATTTTTTTAAAAAGCTGTCTTTAAATTAGCTGTGATATAAATAAGAATCATGAACAGTTTACAGTGTACTTTATTTAACTTTTATTTAGAAATAATAAGGCAGAATATTTGTCACCTTGTAACTTGTTGGGATGGTGAAAATTTTGTTAAGTAAAGGTTTTTAGTTTTTTTTCACTGTGAGCAGCTGACATGTTGTACTGCACTCATGTCTCGTCCCATAAACCAGTTTCACCCTGCTCTAAAAAAACAGTCATTGCTTTTACTTGTATTTTTCTTTTTATTTGGGTTCATTTTCTACTGAATGCTGGTATACTCAACCTTTCTCTATTTTCTCAGCTCTTTAAGTGCATATAACTATTTTTGTCTCCAGATGATATAATGAAGATGATTATAATGATAAGGAATATTATATATAGATTATAGCACTGAGGATGACTATGAGGAAGTTGACAGTTATGATGATGATGATGTGATGATGATTATTTGGCATGCTTCTCTATGGGGCTCTGTGTTGCCAGTGCAGACTGGCTGCCTTTTGTACATAGCTGAGTGACCGTCAGCACCAAGAGTCAGTGCTGCTTCAAAGAGTAAAGATGCTCCAGCAGGGGGCGCTGTCACACAAAATAAAGCACAAACGCACACTGACGGCAGCTTGATGCTTCTAATGTAGCTGCAGAATAACTTTAGATCAAACAGACAATCCAGTCAGAGACATCAGCAGTTCATCAGTGTAGAAGAAGAACCAGCTTCCATTCAGATTATTGATCAGAGCTGCACAGTTAGGACTAAAATGAAACTGATGCCTCTAATAAATCATCATCTGTAAGAATCATCAAAGGTGAAATAAGGAACAGTGATTCATTGTGCAGCCCTGCATATAAACTACATGAAGTGTCCTCCTCTTGAGGCCACTGTGAGCTCTGCTGCCTTCCTGTTATTTAGTCAGATGAAGCATCACTGAGATGAGCTGGAGCCACTCTGAACTTCTGCCATCTTCTTTTTACAGTCACTGACTGAGCTGCACTGACAACACTGAGCCGGCTTCTCTTCATAGGGTGTCTTTCACTCTTTCCCCACTCTCTCTGTTTCCAACCTTGTTCCATCATTTCTCTGCAGTTGGCTCTTTCTACTTTCCCTTTGTCTCTTTTTGTCACTTTGGGTTTCTTCTGTATAATAATATTAATCCTCTAGCTCTCTGATTCTTCTGATTATTGCTCTGTTCTCTTACATGCTTCACGTGTTTCTCTAACTTCAAGAAAATGTGTTAAGGTGTTATCAATAAAATGACAGTTTAAATAGAAGGTTCAGCGTCCTTCTGTGTTTACAGACACATCAGACAGGCTTTGATGTATTTTACTGACAGAAAAAAAAGCAGGAGATTAATGAACTTGTTTTTCTGATATTTTACTTGGTCATCAGGTGAAAAAAACCATTTACAAGACTAAATCCTCAGTGTGCTGATGTGTGTTTCGCATCTAGAACATGAACGAGTCTGAAAACACTGAACACACAGCAGCTCCAAGTGGGAAAAAA